CAGCGGCGGGAATTTCTGAGTGTTATATTCGATTCTCGAATACGAAATTACTCGCGGTTTCAATTTGAAAGCGCAATCGCACAATATTGAATTTAATTCAAGCCAAGTGCCGGTACGCATTGGCGTACCGTCCAGAATTTGGTGACACCGATACGTCCGTGCGGTGTTGCCTGATTCTTTTTTTCAATTACAAATGCAAACGAAATTTGACGTGCCAAAAATTAAAAGCGTCCAATACCGCGTTTTCGGTACAGCGGGCAAATTGCGAGATTCGCCGGTTCGACAACCGCTATTTATTGATAGCAATCAACGCGAGCTGAAAAAGTGGAGCCAGCGCGAACCTTCCTGCGAGATGTATCGATTATGACAACCGGAGAGTTGAAATTACTTCTCAAAATAATAAATCGATGTCACTTGCTTATTCGAGCATATGATTTCCTATCTAACGAGGAAGGTAAATTACTGAATGTTACGCTCACGCAGTTTTCTTCACGTATGCAAAAAGTATATAATAACTTTTTACTTTTTATATGACAAAATCGTGATATGCTAAACATATAAACTGATGCAGTAATTAAAAAAACATTGTTAAAGAATCGACAAGATATTAAATCCTACTCCTGCCGTCGAGTCGTTTGTATACTATTTGATTCGGAAGAATGGATAAAACACTATTGAATTGGCGATATAAAACGCAACGTGAGCATCGGAAGCATAATCTGCGGTAAAGAAGTAGTTATTAGTCCGCAACGAAACGATATTTTACAACCTTTGTCATTCAATCTAATCCTCGAAATAAATTATGTGAACGAAATTTCTAGCGATAAATAGTTGTTATTAATTGCAACAGTTAATCGAGATAATTTTCGATTACATAATGCACATTTACATAATGCAATGACGTGCGATAAGCGACTTTCTTAACCGCGACAAAGTACCATGATTTACGTTCGTATTTTAGATGAGTTAGTCTCGTGAAATATCTATGTATACGTTCATAAAGAGCCGTCGCTTCAACATACAATTTGTTTCTCATTACAAGTTGTAGAAACTTAATAATTAATCGAGGAACGTTACCTGTTACTGATAAGATGCGCAAATCAATAGCGTTTTATCCCAGCATTCAGCGCGATCAAGTCTCGGAAACCGATAACGCAAAAGTAATACGACGCACGGACCGACTCTCGCTGCTACCTGCCGGCTCGACGTTCGGCGAGCGAATGAGAGCGCAGCGACCTTCAGGTAAACGTTGGCCCGCGTAACGTCGTACGATACCACGCCGAGTGAAAAACAACAAAAAAACGTTGAAAGTTCGTTGTCCCGCCTATGAAATGGAAAATTCCGTACTTAATATTTTACATTACTTTGTTCCGTGACTGTTACTACGTTTTGCGTATCATTCTGCGGACTTATTGGTATTGATTAAATTAACGACCAATTCTGTTCAACCGAGAAAATGTTTCGAAACAAAAATCGTTGTTGAATTCTAAGAAATGAGCAAATTTCAATTTTGCATCCGCCATTTCGTGCACGCTATTTTTTATATTCTATAAGAATTTTCAACTGGAATTTAGATTCAATGGGTCCTAATAATATCTAAATAATGTTTTTTAGCATAGTTAAATTACAGTTGAATGACGTTATTCTTTTACGTTTTCAATTCCGCCACCTTGAATCCGCCATTTTAAATTATGAAAATCTGATAACGGATTCGTAATCAGCGACCCCAAAAACCCTTGTATACAAAGTTTTACAAAAAATGGTTCAATAGCAAAATGTATGCCTCAATGGGTTAAACGTAAAATAAAGCTTTCTTGAGACCTTTAAAAAAACATTTCTAATTGCGAAATAGCTTCGTCAGATCAGGCTTGCATAGCGATCTGTTTAATTAACAAAGCTATCTCGTTCAGATTATGTCCGCTATCAAGCATATATTATATATAAATTTCTATTAAATCATGCGGAATGTTGTTGAGCATAATCACGATGAGGGATTGCATTATTGGATATCTTCCACTCGAGTAATTCCAGTAAATTCATCGTGGATCGGTTGGAAAATTTACGGGACGCAAGCTTGCAATATCAATGGACTTAAAAATTATTGCAGCGCTCGCATAAACGTGCATCTCTTTGTTAAAACAGCCTCCCCCCAGTGCTGAATAGCACTCTGCGTAATAAACGATTTGCATTATCGGTCATCACTTCAATTTATCAAGTGTCAGAGATGTCTATTATATAGATATACAATACATCACATTATTACAAATAGTTTTTATCAGACTGTGTTTTTATCAAACTGTGTTCAAATAAAGCTAGAAACCCCAAGTTATTTAAAAAAGGGGGATTGAAAAATTCCTCTCTGGACAAAAAAAAAGAGGGAAAGAGCCCTCTGGCAATTTTACTTCAATTTTGCTGAAATTTTATTTTCAACTTTATTCGACAAATATGACAAACATTTTGCGCTGATCTGAAAGTAATTTAATTGTTACTGGAAATTACACCAGAACATAAATTCTGATTATTTCAGAAGCCACCTGTATGTTATTCCGTTGATTTTTGCATGGCCCCGAGCAGGAACGAAGGACTTCGAGCATTTTACAAAAAAAAGAAATAAAAAATGAACGAATTAAAGAATGTATATCAAATTTCAAACGGCAAAACAACGATCCTCTCTGATAAAGCTTACGAACCGACTATTAACGGATTAATTTCTGAACGGAAACAATAGGATATCCAACAATTCTGCGAGGACGAAGTAAAAAATGTATGATAAAGTTCAGTTCGACGAATTTCGGAAAACAGACACGCCTCGGTCAGAGATTTTTTTTTCACAACTGGCCGCTACCGGACAGACGAGACGGGTGAACCCTTTGCAACTCTACGTACGGTCGGCCGAAAAAGCCATCCTTTACGTTTCCCGGCGATTCAATTTAACCGCGACCGGGCGAACCGACGGACGGACGCCGTCATGAAGTTGTCCAAGTAGATTGGATCTTATTGAATCCAGAACTGTCCTCCTGGAAGGACAGGAGGACGGACCCTCCTCCACTTGATGGGAACGAACTCGCGTTCCCATATAAAACAGCGTGCTCGCGTCGCTTACTCGTTATTGGATTGCGACACGGGCGTTGACGTCCGAATCTCGAACGTTGCGAATCTCGGGTCGGCACCTGGCACCACGACAGAGGGAAAGACAACGGCTACGCCGAATTTAACTCGCGAAGAAGTTGTCACGGACGAACAGAGTTCACTTACGATCGAACGTTTCCGCGTCGTTCGCCGCGGATCAGTACGTTGCCGTTTACCTCACGGATAGTAGGTCGGCAAAAGCGGAGGAAACGAGTGATCGAAGGGAGCGAAAGGGATGGGTCGTTCCGCAGGATGATCTCCATAAAGCGCGGCTCACACGACGCTCTCGTTCGCTGGCAAATAGTACGTTTGTCCGAAAATATGTAGAAAGTCTAGTAAAAATGTTGCACCAAGGGAAATATGGCCGGTTAGAAGCCTGGTACAAAGTATACGCTTTTATCGGGACGTCACAGAAAATTGGTTGTAGCCGGTAACAGTAAATAATCCATCAAAGCGTAAGTTTTGATAGAATTTCGATGAACTGTCCGTTAGATGCTAAAACTAGATAACTGTGCGAGCTATGCATCATTTTTGTGTCAGAACTTATAGCGTATAGAGCGCGGTACCATCATTTTGCAAAGTGAAAATGTTTCGGCTTGACTAGCGGACCAGTTTGCAAAAAATCCAAAGTACTCGATGTGTCTTTAATAGCCAGGTGTTTCCCGTGAAAACCCCTGCTTTTCAATAAAGTTCCAACTTTTCTGCAGCTAACAAGTGAAGGTACATGCTCTGCATTAAAAAATTCCGAGAAAAATTCTGATATTGTACAGTGTACTTTTTAAAAATACCGCAACAAACAGTTCTTGGAGCTCTTTTATTTAAACATCATAAAAATTGATCAAACTAACTTATTCGTTCGCTATTATTCTCGTTTGTTTCTGGTCTATTTTCTTAATTTCGTGAAGAAACCATGCAACAAACGACCACAAAACGTTCGTTAAGTTTGTCGAGAATTCGCGGACGAATTAAATCGTAAAACACCACGCTCTACTTTGAGTCCTATACTTGGCTAATGGAAGAAAGCGTCGTGTAAGCTGCGCTTAAGCTCTGACGACGACATAGACCCCGGGCAATTCATTCGATTAATTCGCGCGTGTGATCCAATAATGTTTCCTGCGAGGCAGCTTTTCGGGTCAAAAGTCGGTTGCCGGCACATCCCTCCCGGATATTGGAAGTCTAGACAACAATGGAGAGGACGCTTTCTTTTTCGACGGTAGGAAGTTACGGCAGTCGAACCGGTCGCCGAGATCGTACGGAATTTTTGTTAACGCACACAACGTATTAAACATCCAAGTGAGAGAAACAAGAAAGTGTCGAGATAGATGACATTATAAAACATCCACGTATTTCATGTATAATCATCGACAGACACGCAGCAAAACCGTGACGAGTGCACGTATTCATTTGTATGTTTGAGTTATTTAATGTTAATATAATTTAATTATGGAATAAAGATGAGGTAGATGCAACAATGAGTTATTAATTATCATTGATTTAATTTTATTGCAGAAGTCGATACAATTACGCGCTTTCAAAGTAGATGTATGGTATTATTGCTTTTTAATTAATACAAATTAGAATATTATTTAATAGGTAAATCATTGTTTCGTCTTTAAATAATGCACTTTTCATACGAGTTCAATGACGTTTGAAAATTTAAATTTTATTTTATGGCCGATAAGTAACAAATATAACTTTTTAATTAACCCGTTCTCCCTCTCTTTCTCCCTCTCTCATAATTTTAGCTATTTGTGTACTCATTGGTGTATCTACCCCAAGAAACGGAAATGCGCAATTTATTTCAAGCTCAACGCTCAAGCTCAACGGTGCAGATATAGCGTACTAAGGGCAAAATATATGCGATAGCTCACCGAATATAGGGTTCCCACGATGCGTCGTCAGTCCTCCGAGGGTTAATACGTGCGAGTGATCCGCCGTTACCACGACGAGCGTTTCCGTGAGATCTACCTCCTTCATAACTGCCTCGACGGCTTCCTCCAATGCCAGGGTCTCATCCAGGGCGCGATAAGCGTTGTTGTAATGGTGAGCATGGTCGATTCTTCCACCTGAAGTGAAACGCCAACAGTTCCCGCTCATGAAAGGCTCATAAGGTGCCACCATTTATTAAAATTATCTTCGACTACTTCATAAGGCGATGTTTCTCACAAGTGTTTCAAGATCCTTGCAGTTTCCAGTTGTTATTGTCTTTAGACATTTCTTTTCATACATCGTATCCAATTTATTTAAATATATCAATATTACGCATTATCTTTCCTATTGTAAGGGAGGGAAAGTTAACTCTTTTTTTCAAGGATAATTTTACTAGAAATTTTATTTTAATAAAGTTTCTAAGCTCTACTGTAATATTACGATTACGATTTTCTCGTATCGATATCAAATAAAACATATATGTTTAAACTGCTATTATGCGTTTCTTTATTCACGCTGACCATTAGCTTTATCTACGCAAGGGGAGAACTATGTCCGAGTTTGGGTTTGTTTACTCTTATCCACGTTCGCACCCGTACACTGTTTGTCATTCGATAGCTTCATTAATAGTTCTCAATTGGATTTTAATCAGTGGTGTCAATCATGGGCGAGACGTTGCTCGTTGCCCACATAGTTACGGTCTGCATGAGAGCAGCGGTTCCCGTTATCGCATTAACAAAGTTACACGAATGGACTTAACTCGATCATCGTGATAATTCTATCATGGCAAAATGGCGGCGTGGCCACGCACGCGAGCGTTCGCTGTAATAGCAATGATCAAAAAACGGCCGCAAAATTGTCACAAAGAGAGCTTTAGCTTTATGCACGGTTTTCAGCGAAATTTTTATAAATAACGAGAAAATTGATAAAAGAACGATGCAATATAGTGCAACTCGTCCAAATGTTAACTCTATCTCGTTGAAATCCATATAAAACTCGATTATTAAACAGTTAGTTTATTAAGTGTCGAAAAATAGTAGAAAAATATACAATTAAATTTATATATTCATTGATCAAACGATATAGATGTCCGATCAATGATGGTGGTTTCGTTCAATTTCGGCAAAAATTGCGGAGTAATGCGATTTAAAGAAATTAGAGGGAAAACAATGGATTAAAAGTACAGACGAGATAGTGAAATCATTTTACAGCTACCCTTCGGTCATTGGTAAGCCATTGCGTGCGTAATATTGATCTGACCAAAACCTGTTTCGACCCACAAATACGGTCAGTAACATGCAGTCAGTGCATCGAATGTATTGCTTGCGGCTCCATCAACTGATGGATATGGAACAATAACTCCCACAGTAGTCCCTATCGTATATCAAATAGCATTATTCATACATGTAAGTTTCGAGCCACCCCATCCATCATTTAATTTCCATCATTCGCTTCTACTGTGGTCATAATAAAGCTTATACATTTGCCATATTTTTTAACTCTTTTCATCATGTAACCCGTATTTGGGTGATGCGTGAGCTTTCGCCTCATCACCCACTTGTAACGGTTTTATTTAAGCCCGACCCCTTTGAACCTGTTACACGGCACATTTTGTAATTACGATCAAGTTCGTTTAACGAAAGTCTCACAATTATGCTGCCGTAAAATAAAATCGCGTTTAGAAGACAAATCGCCGGAAAAACCATCTTATAATTAGAGGAGAGTCTCCGATTATGAGAAAGGCTCGTAATATTAGACAGTGGGGGCTCTGCTAAATTAATAGGCATCATCTGTTGGTTCCGCCATGAATTTATTATCCTTGGAGTAAAATCTGTTTGGTGAAAGATTCATTGTTAGATCGCGCGTGTAATTGTTGCAAAACAAAGTATGTGAAATTGGATGCTGAAGATCCGCTATCTTTTATTAGGAGCCTATCTCATAATAGAGGACTTTCCTCTATATGTATTATCTCCCGAATGTGCATCTAGGACGAGAACTTATTTAAAATTTTCAAAAGCGTGCACGTTAGGATAGCGCCGAGTCTCCTGCTCGTCGCGTAAAAAGTTAGATTATGTTTCTTCGTGGCACTTGAACGCGTGTTCGATCCTCGACGCGAGCGATCGTACGGTACAAAAAGGCGCGATCACCGACGATACGTCGTCGGTTTTACAATCATTAAGAGCGTCACGGGTAAAAGCGGTTTGTAAAGGAGCCACGAGATAAACTATATCGCGATCATTGCCGGGCGATGCTTAAGAACTTGCATCGCTTGCACGTCACGAGCGAGCGGCATCGATTCCCTCGTTATACGCGTGTCGTTCACGTACTTCTGTACTAACTCGATCGAGACCGGGCCGGCGCTTATCCAATTGCTGTGCGCTGCAGGAATTTAAGAGCTGACTTTATTATAGATATCGCCCTAAAGAGTTTATTCGATATCGCGTATAGATAAACGCTGTTGCATTCGAATCTCGTTTCAATCTAGTTGACTTGAAAAAGCGATGCATATAAATATATTCATATATGTGCAGAACGACCTCGTCTCGGGAAGCGAAATGTGGAACATCTCCATTTTGTGTTTAAAGAGATGGCTACTCCTTTAAGGACCGGTTGCACCAACGTCGCTTAACTTTAAACCTCAGCTTAATTCACTCTCCGTCTCTTTGTAACTGTTTCCCTTAGAAAGAGGGTTAAAATTCCGTGATGTTGGTGCAACCGGGCCTAAAACTCTTAAATGGTAATAGGCACTATGTGACGCATCGTTTTACAGGTCTTTCAGTTCTTTTTATCGTGTAGATTTTTTTTTAATTGGAGTGAGTGCTTGTCGAGAAGTAGCATTTGAAAGACATTAAAAATTGAAAATTTTCCCTTAAAAACAAGATTGATGTGTTTCAGCATATTTTACACAAATCAGTCGATATAAAAAACGGGGTGGAAAGTTTCCGTTGACTCACCCTGTGTTAATGTGCTGAAATGTATTGTAGTTTATCGAAGAGCGACCGAAATAAAAAAAAATTATAAGGTAGAAAAGAGACCTGTTACGTTTGTATGAACGCGAAATGTTTTGAAATTCTCAATTTTTCTTGTCGAGAAAGATAAATCGAGTAGGAAAGGAACGAGAACATTATGATGATCACAGCTTCATCTTTTAATTAAGATATCTGCCATCGAAAGTTTCTTTATCGAAACTTTACTATCTGGATATAATAGCACAGAGTTGGAAGTTTCTGCTTTATTTTTCAGACATTGGTAATAAAGTAAAAAGTCTTTTCATGGCGAATGCAATTACAATCATTAAGCTCGACACGATTCGCCCCGCTCATTATATTTATCGATACCTTGCCAAATTGTACTCTATCGGATATAGTTTGAACGTGCGGCATCCCTTTATGTTACGTACGATAAATAACAAAGTAACTTCGGTATGTAGGAGGCAAAAGAATCGAAAATAGTTATCGAGAACGCGGGCCACTCGATGCTCGGCTCGAAGTCGCAAACTGCATGTTGCCTTCGTCGAATTGCCTATTTCATTTGGCAAGCAACGCGGAATCGTCATAAAATGAAAAATACCGAAATGTCGCAGGGGAAATAAAACACCGCTAAAAACAAAGAGACCCCGACAAACTGTAACCTGCATGAGCAGCAACGAAGTAGAATACTCGTCGCTGTTAGCCTTTGCCGAAGCGCGATTAAAGTGCAAACAATAGACAGCGCGGTCCAACACTGTCGTAATAAAGCGTAAAACTGCACTTGATTTTGATTTTATCTTTACGACGTTCACTTAAAACTGGCGCTATTAACGCGTAAAACGACCGAAAAACGTTAAGGTATTATTCGAGGAGTAGCATTTGAAAGACACTAAAAAATTGAAAACAAGACTGATTGTGTTTCA